TATTGACAATGGCTACTGATTAAAGTTTGATTTTTTTTTTTTAGCTATTTTTTATACTTTTTCCATTAAAGATACAAAGTTAAAATATATGTGATATGATTTGGATGTTTGTCCCCTCCAGATCTGAGGTTGAAATGTGAGCCCCAGTGTGGGACATCTGCTGGTGGGAGGTGTTGGGGTCGTGGGGTGGGTCCCTCGCGCATGGCTTGGTGACAGTGAGCTCACGCGCTGGTCACTTAAGGGAACCATCCCTTTTCCCCAGGGAGCTGGACATTCGCAGCGCATGGCGCCGGGTGAGGCCCCCGGCAATGGGGTCCCGTGTCACACTGGACTGGGGCCAATCTCATAGGCAGAAATGGAGTCTTGGGGTAGTTGATTTTCTTCTTGATTTTTGGAACCCATCAGCTCTTTTGAATTAGGAATATTAACCCTGATATCCCTCATTTTAAATTACAATTTTTATTGGGGTAAAATAAACATAAATTCAACATTTTTACCATCTTGAAGTTTACAATTTAGTGGCGTTTATTTATTTATCTATTTATTTTTTGAGACGGGGTCTTACTCTGTTGCGCAGGCTGGAGTGCAATGGTGCAGTCACAGCTCACTCTACCTGCTCAAGGGATCCTCCTGCCTCAGCCTCCCGAGTAGCTGGGACTACAGGCATGTACCACCATGCCTGGCTAATTTTTTCTATATATTTTTAGTTGGCCAATTAATTTATTTCTATTTTCAATAGAGACGGGGTCTCACTCTTGCTCAGGCTGGTTTAGAACTCCTGACCTCGAGCAATCCTCCCACCTCAGCCTCCCAGAGTGGAGGGACTACAGGTGTGAGCCACCGCGCCCGGCTGCATTTAGAACATTTGTAACGTTGTATGATCACCCCCTCGATCTACTTTCAACACTCCAGAAAGGAATCCCAGACCCAGTAACCCCATTTCCCCAACCCCTGGCACCCATTCCTCTGCTTGATATATCTTAAATTACCAACATTTCTGAAAACATTCAATGTCATGAACATTTTTTTCCAGGATGTATTTTGTCTCTTACTGTTACTGGGTTTTAAATCATATTTAGGCAGATTTTGCCCACTCCTTAGTTACAAAGTGACTCACTAACTTTTTCTAGTATTTGTTTCTTTTATATTTAGCCTTTGAGCTGTCTGGGACCTGCCTTGGTGTGTGGTGTGAAGTACAGCCCAGTTCAGCCTTTCCCGGGTGGCGAACGGTTGTCTCAACACTCACTCACAAGCCACCTCTTCCTCGCTGGTGTGGGGCCCTCCTCATCACAGCCTAACTTTCCGGGCGTAGTTTCTAGACTCCCTGGGTCCTGGGCCTGCTTGTCTGCCTCCGTCCTGGCGCGGCCCGGTGAGATTCTGGAGGCCCAGGAAGTGGTTCTGGGGCAGTAGGACTAGTTTCTCCCCGTCCGTCCGTCTTTCGGGGTTTTCCTGGAGGTGTTTTGCCTTCTCGAGCGCACACACTCTCTCTGTCTCGCTCTGCCCCGCTCTTTTTTATGTGAACTTTATAATTAGCTCAATTTAGATCCAGGGGAAAAAGCATCCTGGTATTTTTATAAGGATCACATTAAATTTATAAATCTGCTGTGGAAAGTTGTCTTGTTTAGGAAATGGTTTTCTTACCCAGAACACAGTATTCTGCTTGTTTCAGTCTGTGTTCTGTGGCTGTAACTGCAGACGAGATAATTTATAAAGAAAGAAGGTTGTTCCCTGCAGCTCTGGAGGCTGGGACTGCAGGGGCAGGGCCGTCTCTGCTGGGGGCTTTCTTGCTAGAGGGGAGCGTGGCAGGGGCAGGAGACCCACCCTGCTGGTAACCAGCCCCCGCCCTTGGACCGAATCTACTCTGAGGGCGAGGGTCCCACCTCAACACTGCTGTATTGGGGACCCAGTTTCCAACACAAACTTTTGGGGTACACATTGGTATATTTAAGTTTTCCTCATACAAGGTTACATTTCTTCTTCTTTTTTTTTTTTTTTGAGACAAAGTCTCACTCTGTTGCCCGGGTTAGAGTGCCGTGTGTCAGCCTCACTCACAGCAACCTCAAATTCCCCGGGCTCAAGCCATCCTCTTGCCTTAGCCTCCCGAGTAGCTGGGACTACAGGCCTGCGCCACTGTGCCTGGCTAATTTTTTAATATATTTTTAGTTGTCCAATTAATTTCTTTCTATTTTTAGTAGATACGGATACGAGGTCTCGCTCTTGCTCAGGCTGGTTTCCCACTCATGACTTTGAGCAATCCTCCTGCCTCGGCCTCCCAGAGTGCTAGGATGGCAGGTGTGAGCCACTGAGCCCAGCCTCAGGTTACATTTCTTTAGGGATTTTGTCTTTGTTGCTGTTGGAAATGGGTCATTTCTTCCGTTCTGTCCTCCAAATGAATGCACTGACAGAGACCACTGATCTCCAGGTCCCTTTGAGTCCTGCTGCTTTTCTGAGCTCCCTCAGTGTTTGCAGCTGGGTCTCCTGTGCTGGCCACGTGCAGAGGGTTTGATAGAAGCAGCCTGTCCAGGTGAGGCGGCCTCCTGCTCCCCCCACCCTCCCGCTGGCTCCCATCAGGGTGGTCCTGCCCTGAGCCAGATTTCACTGATCCCCTGGGACCCCCTATGTGTTTTTCGGGCTGGGGGCCTTGGCAGGAGGCAGTGGGGCCTGCAGGGAGCGATGAGGGAGGCAGGATGGGTGCCTCAGGGCACATAGGGGCCTCGGTACTGTGTGCACAAAGCCTCCTCCTCTGGGGCTCTCCTTCCTCAGGAGGCTGGACAGGAGGGCAGGGCTAGAAGACCTCAGCTCAGCCCTGTGTTGTGCGGAGGGGAAACTGAGACTGAGGGGCCATGTGTCGGTCTTCCAGCGCTGAGTGCCCCGTGCGGACAGGCTTTGGGAGGAGAACGCCCCTGCATCAGAAAGCGGGAAGCGCTGAGGGGATAAATGGGCTGCCTCGCAGTGAATGGCAGTTTAACAAATACCTTCATTGTTTGGACCTGCATATTTAGCTGTTTCGGAACGCAGTTGATTCCTCCTTGAGTTTCAAATATAAGACTGCTACAGTCACATCACAATATTCAGTGGTGAAATCCTGTTTCTTAACTGTCCTTCCCATTCCTTTTCGTTTAGAATCAAAATAAAGTTGTATTTCAAATATCTAAAAAAAAATAAAATTAAAAAAAAAAACAAAAGCGGGAAGCTGGGGCCTGCCCAGGACCCCCAGCCCTGTGGCAAGGCTGGTCCAGAGAAAGACGGACACACAGGGAAAAGGGAGGAGGGTGAAGATGGCGGGACAGACGGGGACCGTGGAGAACCAGGCCGGGGAGCCAGCTGGCATTTGTTCCCTGTGAGGAGTGTGTGTGTGTGCGTGCACCCACGGGATGTCTGTGCACATGTGAGCTCTCTGGCACGGCACATGGTCGTGGAGGACGGCCTCCCCCGGATTGGGATAATCCCACCTGGAGATCCCAGAAACACCCACACTTCACATTTCATGTACTGGCTTTGGGCACCGGCGTCTGGAGGAAGGCAGTGCAGAGCCTCGTCCTGCCAGCCCTGCGCTCCGGGCCCACCTGGAAGGGGCAGATGTGCAGAGCTTGGGCAGTGGCCGTGGGAGGGGCCGGAGCTCACTTCCTGCATCACCTGTGAGCAAAGGAGCTCAGCACACCTGCATTCCTGCACTTGGGCCTGGCGCTCCCCACCAGCAACCTCCTTGCCTGCCAGGGTCAAGGGAGGCTCGGGGTGCTGGCACTAGGGTTAGATCCTGAGAGATGATGAGGGTGGCCTGGGGGGGAGAGGCGGGAAGAGGGGTGCTGTAGGGGGAGGAGGGCTGTAGGGGGAGGAGGGCTGTGGGGGCAGGAGGAGGAGGGAGGAGAAGAGGGAGGAAGGCTGCAGGGGAAGTCGGAACAAATCCACTCTAGCATTCCAACCTCCCTAAGCCTTTGAATCCCTTCCTGGACATGAAGCCAAGGGAGACCAGGCATTTCCATTAAATCTTGGGGGTTCACATTGTGGCCTGTGTTTCAGCCACCCAGCAAGAGCCCTTTCTAACCCCCACCAGCTGCAACATTAAATGCAGAAACTGTGAGTGAGTCCACACCAATAAATGCTGCCTGATGAAATTTTATGTTCCTTCTACTGTTCTCTGACAACCTCGATAGGCATTCCCCAGCATTTCTGGATTTCTGCACGAATTAGAAAACCAAAGTGCTCTCGGGGTGCAGTACATCTGCTCAGGGGTCGCAGTCTGCACCTCACCTTTAGGCCTGGGGGGGATGTCTAGAAGCAGAGGGGCGGGGTCCTGCCACGACCTCCTCAGGTGTGGACAGGCCGGGCTGCACCACGGGGGGGGGGCTCTCCCACTGGTGAGGACAGATCGGAACTTAGGGGCTCCACGTCCCCAGCTTCATCAGGGTCTTCTCACACACCCCAGCACCCCGAACCTCAGTTCTCCCACCTCTACCTCACGCTCAGGCACTCACTCACCTGCCTGGAGCCCCTGTACCCCAAACCCTGCACTCCCTCCCCAGCCAGCACCCTCCAGAACTGGGCGTTCAACTCCTGCTGAACTCCAGCCGCTCTGGGTCTGACTTCCAGCAGCCATGACCCTGCAGCCGAAGGAGGAGGAGGCAGACGTGGCAACTTCGGGGCTGTCCGTGAGGGGCTGGAGCCGGGCATCTGAATCCCTGGGCTTGCCCTCCCTCTCCCACGGGAACACGGGCTGTTCTGTGCAATCGGAACAGCCAGGCATGCACTGCACCCTTTGCTTGACGGGAGAGCTGAGTCACCCCAGCCGTGCCTTCTCAGAGCGTGGAACCACTGCTCTCCGTTCTGCGTCACCGTCACTGTGGATGCCGCCGGCCCCTCCCACTGCGGGAGCCAGCAGTGGCGCCTGTGGCCCTAACCGGCCAGAGCCCCACCTGTCTCCACCCTCCCGCCCCACCCACCACCCAGCTATCTTCACGCAGACCCTCCACACCTTTTCCAATTCACAGCTAGACACTATGTAACATAGTGAGAGACACTGTCTAAGAGTTTATTACCAGCCTCTGCCCTCCAGCGGGCCCTGTGGCTGGGGCCCTGGCTGTCCCAGCACGCGGCCGACCCCGGCCCTCGCCTGGCAGGGCGGGCTCGGATGGGCCGTCCGGGGCGGGCAGGCTGCTGGGCCAGGCCTGTTCTCCCCTGATGGGTCTCCTGGGCGCCTGCCGCGCTGGCTGCTGGGGCCCGGGGGACGCCTCGTGTGCGTGTGGACAGGGACCCTCGGGCCTCCAGCGCTAGCTGAAGGGATGGGCTTCCCCGTTGTCCCTCCTCAGGGGACCCTGACAGGTCCCCGCGTGGTCGTGAGAATGGGCGCAAGGCCGGCCACTGGGGTCACCCTCCCGCCATCTGACCCGTGCAGACTCGCCCTCCTCCTCACGGTGGTGCGTTCACTGTCAGGTGCGTCAGCCGCCTGGCCCTGGTCCCCGCCACACAAGGACCTGCCCCAGGCATGGGACACCTTCTCCCTCAGAGACGGATCACGCAGCCAGCACCCGAGCCCGCTGCTCTGTTTCCCGGGTCAGGACGTCCCCGCGGCTTCCCCAGCTTTGGCCAGACCAGAGTCACCTTCAGACGGGACGCGCAGGCCGTGAAGACTCGCGTCCTGAGACAGCCCCGCTCCTGGGAGGGGACCCCAGGGCGTCCAGCGAGAGCGTGCGTGCCTTTGGGGCCTGGGAGTTGGCCGTGACTCTTGTCACGGAAGAAGGGAAGACACAGGCTTCCAGGAGAAGGGTGGCGGGGAGGGCCGTAGCTGGCTCGGGCCCTCCCCACTCACCCTCCCGGAGGGCCTGGGTCTGCGGGGAGGGGGCTCAGGGCGGGGCTCCACTGGCCGGCCGGCCCCGCTCGCTTGGGGGAGCAGGGAGGTGTTTTCCGGGCGCTAAGGGCCCCTGCGTTGGGCCCGGCAGGCCAGGCTGCGGCCGCTGCCCGGCGGCGGCTCATCTCTCGGGCAGCAGCATGAAGAAGGCGGCCCTCAGGAAGCGGCAGGCGCTGCAGAGCCCGGCCACCAGCCAGTGGGAGCGGAGCCCGGGGTCCGTGCTGACCACGCACTTGAGGACGTCCGTCTGGAGGGAGACGGGCAGTCAGAGCATGTGCTACCCGCCCCGCACCCCAGTTCTCCCACCTGCACCACGCACTCAGGAGCTCACCATCCGCCTGGAGCCCCCGCACCCCAGTTCTCCCACCTGCACCCCGCACTCAGGAGCTCACCATCCGCCTGGAGCCCCCGCACCCCAGTTCTCCCACCTGCACCCCGCACTCAGGAGCTCACCATCCGCCTGGAGCCCCTGCACCCCAGTTCTCCCACCTGCACCCCGCACTCAGGAGCGCCCACCATCCGGCCTGAGCCCCCGAAACCCCAAGTTCTCCCACCTCCACCATGCATCTCAGGTGAAGCCCACCATCCGCCTGGAGCCCCTGCACCCCAGTTCTCCCACCTCCACCATGCACTCAGGAGCCCACCATCCGCCTGGAGCCCCTGCACCCCAGTTCTCCCACCTGCACCACGCACTCAGGAGCCCACCATCCGCCTGGAGCCCCCGAACCCCAGTTCTCCCACCTGCACCACGCACTCCATCCGCCTGGAGCCCCCGCACCCCAGTTCTCCCACCTGCACCCCACACTCAGGCGCTGACCCATTCGCCTGGAGCCCCCGCACCCCAGTTCTCCCACCTGCACCCCAGTTCTCCCACCTGCACCCCGCACCCCGGCGCTCACCCATCCGCCGCGCCTCCGCAGCCAGGTCGCCAGCGTCTTGCGCACAAACTCTCCCAGGCAGTCGACGAGTGCGTGCACCATGGCTGGCTGGGCCTGCCGCACGCAGTCCTCGGCCAGCCCGGCGGCCACCGCGTACAGGGACACCACCTTGCCCCACGTGATGCCTGCGGGGACAGCGGGTCAAGGCCGGTCTCGTGGAGGGGCCGAGCCCCGCAGGCGCCTTCCTGCCCGCCTGCTGCAGGCCTGGCCCGCCTGTCCCGAGCAGTCCTGCCCACCCAGCCGCCCCGCACGCCTTGCTGCTCACCCGAGTCTCGAATCCCAGCTGAGTGGCCCTGCGGCCACAGGCCTCCTATTTCCCACCACCCTGGCCTCGTCGTGCCCTTGTCGCTATGGGAACGCACACACCTGGCAGAGTGGTCCTCACCTGCCGCCCCCCAGGGGCTGTTCCAGCCCATCTCCAAGGCGGCCCAGGCTGGCCAGGTGCCAGGGGCGAGTGGCGAGACTGATGCCACGTGCCCACAAAGAGCAGGCGGTTCCGACCCGCCATGCCCTGACAGCCAGGCCTGCACCCAGCAGGTGGGGCTGGGGTCAACGTGGGTGGGACCGAGCACCAGGGAACCCGCTGTCTGTGTCACCTGTGGAGGGGCCTCCGTGGAGGGAGGACCACCAGGGAACCCGCTGTCTGTGTCACCTGTGGAGGGGCCTCCGTGGAGGGAGGACTGTGGAGGGAGGACCGTGGAGGGAGGACCATGGAGGGAGGACCGTGGAGGGAGGACCATGGAGGGAGGACAGTGTGTCCAGACCAAGTGAGGAAAAGGAGGGCAGGCGTCTGGCGGAGCTGGCAGGGACCCTGGGGCAGCCTCGGCATCTCGTTTTCTTTGAGCTCTTCTGCACTTTCTTTTTCTAGAGTGCCGTGGCGTCAGCCTAGCTTACAGCAACCTCCAACTCCTAGGCTCAAGCAATCCTCCTGCTTCAGCCTCCCGAGTAGCTGGGACTACAGGCATGCGCCACCATGCCCGGCTAATTTTTTTTTAATATATATATTAGTTGGCCAATTAACTTATTTCTCTTTATAGTAGAGACGGGGTCTTGCTCTTGCTCAGGCTGGTTTTGAACTCCTGACCTCGAGTGACCTCCCCGCCCACCTCGGCCTCCCAGAGTGCTAGGATTACAGGCGTGAGCCACCGTGCCCGGCTTATTTCTTTCTATTTTTAATAGAGATGAGGGTCTCGCTCTTGCTCAGGCTGGTTTCGAACTCCTAGCCTTGAGCGATCCTCCCGCCTCGACCTCCCAGAGTGCTGGGATGACAGGCGAGAGCCACCGCGCCCGGCCCTGCTCTTTCTTTTTTACAGAGATACAGTCTCACTGCTGTCATCTTCTGAGTGGGACGTTGCTTTCAGCATGTCCTCAGAGTTGCGCTGCCACCACCGCCGTCTAATTCCAGAACACTTCCGCCGCCCCAAAGACAGCCGCACCTGTCAGCAGCCCCCCATCCCCCAGCGGTCGCCGGGCCACACGTGGCGGCAGGTTCACGCGCTCCGGGCGTCTCACGGAAACGGAGCCCTGCGGCACGCCCAGCAGGCGCGACTCGAGGCTGCCCCACGCCGTGGCCCGTGTCAGCGCCTCACTGCGCTGCGCGGCTGTCCGCGTCCATGGCGCGGCTGTGCCGCCCACGCTGTGTTGACCCTTTCTCCGAGGCCCTCGGCCGGCACCTGTGGCCGCTGTGAATGACGTGCGGTGGACGCCGGCGCACACGCGTGTGCGGGGGTTTTCGTCGCCCTGGGGAACACGCCTGGAGATTCGCTGGCGTGTGGGGTGACTCTGCGTGTAACCACGTGAGCGGCTGCCAGGCAGTTTGCGTTTTACACAAGCAGCGCCCGAGGGTTCTGACTCCCCACGTCCTCGCTAACCCTGGGGCGGTGCCAGCCAGTGGCGGCTGCGGGGTGTGACCTGCACGAGCCGGGGACCCGCGCCCTGACCCCTCTCCACACGCCTGTCGGTCATTCAGACGTCTCCACGGGAGGCACGTCTACACAGACCCTTTGCAACCCTTCTCCTAACCGGGTCGTCCTGTTTGTGTTGATGTGTCAGAGCTCTTAACACGGTTCTTCGGTATTTTCTGATTTTTCTGTGGTCAAATACTTCGCTCTTACAGTAAGGAAAAAGAAAACTACCTGGGAGAGGACAGTGAGTTTTCCTCTGGTGGAACTTAGAAGCCCAAAGTGAAAACGCAGCCAAAACCATGGGCTGCCTCTGCCTCGTGGGGGGGCTCGGCTGTCCCTGCAGGGGCTGGGGGCTGGGAGGTCACCGTGGACCCTGCCCTGCAGCCCCCCAGCTGCCCACGTGGCCGGTCGGGTGTGGGAGGGGTCTCGGGCAGAGCGAGGAGGGACGGCTAGGGGCTGGCCCTCCAGGCAGAGGGGCCCACAGAGGTGAGGATGGGGGTGGACGAGTGGGGATAGGCAGCCCGGAGCTGGCCTCAGGGGACACTGTGGGGACAGCCCTGCTCACTCCCCTGCCTGCGGCTCCAAGGTTCAGAGAGGTCAAGAAACCACTTGCCCTGGGCCCAGGCTGCCCAGCGCCCCACAGCAGGGCCACCCCCTGGCACCAGGGGCCGGTGGGGGCGTGGAGGCTGCCACGAGAGACACAGGGGCTTGGTGGAGGAGCATGTGGCGCTGGCTGGGGCAGGCTCTGCTCCAGTTTTCCAATGAAAACTCAGCTCTCTACAAATGCAACTGCTACCAGGTTTCCCCGAAAATAAGACCTACCCATAAAATAAGACCTAGCGGGATTTCTAAGCATTTGCACAATATAAGCCCTACCCCGAAAATAAGACCTAGTGGTGGGCGTGGCTACACAGCGTGTCTGCACAACCCATGCATTTTGTCACAGAGCAGGAAAGAAGACGAGCAGCCCTTCTCATCTGCCCCATCGTGACAGCTGCTGTCCCAGAGGTGACCGGAAAGGTGCGGGCAGCCCCACCAACAAGGTCACTTCCCCCTGTCAGGTCCCAGCCATCCTGTGCGTGCTGCAAGCTGAGGCTTTGAGGGGAAAATAACACATCCCCTGAAAATAAGCCCTAGGGCGTCTTCTTGAAGAAAAACAAACATAAGACCCTGTCTTATTTTCGGGGAAACACGGCACCTGTGCTTCACGTGCCCCCCGCAGCCCCTGGGGACCCCCCACCTCAGCCCGTCCCCACCTCCCCGCCCCCTGCACTGCAGCAGGACAGAGCCACACTCTCAGAAATGACCGTCCTTCCTAAAGCGGGCGGGCGGCTCGTAAACTGGCCGGCCGACAGCCTGGAGACAGGCGCCCGGCGGCCACCCACACGCCCGCAGACGCCGAGGGAGGGCGGGGTGGTCGTCAGCTCAGGACGTTTGCTGCCCTGGCGTCCTTCCTGCCCCCGCCGCTGCCTCCTCCCCAAGGTGCCTGCCCAGGTCACCCCTGGGGAGCCGGCTCCCAGCCCACTGCTCCTGGGACAGGGCTCCCGTCCCCACCGCCCACCCCGGCCGCCCAGCCCTGCCCCTGTGCCGAGCGGGGCCCAGCTGGCCAACCCCACTGTGCCACGCCTCCCGGGCAAAGCCCATGCCAGGATGCCCGCCCCAGCCCCCCCAGGCTGGCACGGGGCCCTCCAGAGCCCACCTTAACTGCGGGGATTGCTGTACGCCCTCCCAAAGGAACATGGGAGCAGTGACAGACTCCTGGCTCTGGGGCCGCCCTGAGGAGCACTGGACAGGGAGTCCTGCCACTGCACCAGTCAGGCCCCGCCCCGACTCCCACGCCATGGCCGGCGGTCCCCTGCTCCGGCTCAGGTGTGGTCTGGGCCAGCCTGTGCTGTAGCAACGGGACAACCCGGACCGGACCTGGACCCCTCCCAGGACCCGGGTGGGGAGCTGGCCCCCCAGGCCCTCCCCCATGGCGCCCTGGGCGTCTGTCTGTCCTGCCCGCCAGCGGCCAGAGGAGCTTCCCTGGGCGAGGACAGGGGACGTCAGCACAGGGTTCCCCACAAGGCCGGGGCCTCCTCTGAGCAGGATGCAGTGGCCCCTCACCCTCGGGCTCCTTTCGTCATCTCTCGGGAGGGCAGAGGTCATTGGGCCTCCTGGAGGCCCCTGGCCCCGAGTGGCCTTCTCTGCTGTGGGTACATCTTCGCCCTGTAGGGACCGTGGCTTCCCCGTGGCACCCTCGGCCCTAAAGCCCGGCTTCTGCCGTCAGGACCACCCTACCGAGGAGGAAACTGAGGCCGGGGAGGCGAGGGGAGGGCCAAGGTCACAGGACGACAGACCCAGGCCACTCACAGACGGGGGCCTCCACGCCTGCAGCTCGGAGTCTTCCAGAAAGCCCCAGGGAATGTGCCCCCCTCCCCCCGCTCCAAGCCCCCCAGGCCTTCTGTCATCCGCAGTCCCTGGTGCAGAGCAGCACCTAGCGCCGGGCAGTACTTGGGAGCACTGTGCCTGGAACCACACCTCTGCTCAGACTCACCTCCGGCCCAGTGACTTCAGCAGAGTGACCTGTGACTTCCTTTTTTTTTGAGACAGAGTCTCACTCTGTTGTCCAGGCTAGAGTGCCGTGGCGTCAGCCTAACTCACAGCAACCTCCAACTCCTGGGCTTGAGCGATCCTCCTGCCTCAGCCTCCCGAGTAGCTAGGACTACAGGGGTGTGCCACCATTCCCGGATAATTTTTTCTATGTATATTTTTAGTTGTCTAGCTAATTTGTTTCTATTTTCAGTGGAGACGGGGGTCTCGTTCTTGCTCAGGCTGGTCTCGAACTCCTGACCTCGAACGATCTGCCTGCCTCAGCCTCCCAGAGAGCTAGGATGACAGGTGTGAGCCTCCGCGCCTGGCCGACCTGTGACTGCAGGGGAACAGGTAGGCGCCTGGCTGTGCCCACCTGGACTGTCGGACACTGCCCCTCGGGCCCCAGCACCCCTGGGAGAAGCCCGAGCCCCACGCAGGGCCGTGTGCAGGAGCCGACAGCCGGTGCTGGCTGCCCTGGGTCACGGCAGCTCCAGACGATTACGCCAGACCGCAGCGCCAGAGAGGCGGCGCCAGCTGCCCGGCACCCTCCAGCCTCAGGTCAGGCACCGAAGGGGCTGAGTCTGCGTGTTGCGTGTTCTGGGCTGGGCAGTCATGTGGCGGGACACCCAGCAGCAAGAAGGCGCTGGGAGCGGGGCCCTCTCTGGGGGCGATCTACAGACCAGAGCCCCCCAAGGAGTGCCATGGGGTGGGTGGGCCAGGCCTACCTGCAGAGAAGATGTGGCCGGCCACGGCCAGGAAGGCGTCGGTCACCACGGGCTCGGACTGCAGGGGCAGGTGCAGCTGCCGCGCCACGTTGCGGTACACGCTGGGCCGGATCAGCTCCAGCTCGTCCCCTGCGCGGCCACACGAGTGGGTCAGGGGCGGCCACGCCTCAGCCCCCGGGGACACAGCTGGCTGGGGACCCCACCCCACCTCACTGGACTCCCCAACCTCGGCGCCTGGGCACAAGGAAACCAGGCAGGTGCCGAGGACACCCCCAGTCCTGCCCCTGTGCTGCGGCCCCCCCAACACGCCAGCCCCCCGGGCCGAGCCGGCTGAGCCGGTGGGGCAGGAATCTGGGTGCAGCGTGGGCCGTGTCTGCTCGATGACTCACGGCAGACGGGCGGCCCAGCTGCCAGGCAGCGGGAGGGGCCTGCCGGCAGCCAGAGCCCAGCCTGGGCGGGGGCTGAGCGGGGGACCCCACGCAGGCGGCCCCCAAGAGGCATCCGGGCTCAGGTCCCAGCACCACTCGGGGGGTGGCACAGGTGAACTGACCAGGACAGGCCGAGCCACTGTCCTGGGCCACCAGCACCGCCCACGCCCCACCTGGGCTCCTGGTGCCAAGTGGGCGTGTCAGGCTGTGGCCGCCCTGCGCAGGCCGCGGGCAGAGGAAATGCCCCCCACAGGCCCGCCTGCCTCGTGTGGTGGCTGCAGGGCCCGGGGCTGCCGTGTGCCAGCGCTGGGCAGACAGTGCCGGGAACCTCACCCGGCCCTCGGCCTGGCGTCCCCACCCGGCCAGCTCTGCAGCCAACTCCAACAGGGAAGGGCTGCCGACCGGAGAGGCCAGCCGATAAGGGCGCTGGTGTCACCGTGCGGCCAGCTGCTCCCTGTCCGATTCATAACGATCTGCAACCGGAGGAGCACCGAGGGGAGGCGGGGGCTGGGGGCAGGCGTGGAAATTCCCAGGGCTGGCCTCACTGTCCCCATCCAAAGGCCTCGGGGGCCACTGCGGGGACACAGCCCGGGCTTCTTCCTGTTTGCAGCTGCCTGGGGGCTGGGGCGGGCCAGGGGCCAGGGAGACGGCACCCGTGGGGCTCACCCTGAGCAGCTGGGAGGGCAGAACACAGCAGACGGACATGAATAAGATGCCTCGGGGTCGCAGCTGCCTCCCTACGGGGCCCCCTCAGCCATCTGGAACTTCCTCTGGCCATCTCAGGGCTCTGGGGGTCTCAAGAGGCCAGGGAATCATCTTGTGCAGAGGCCCCTAGAACGTACCGCTGGGTCATCCTGGACGTGACGCCCAGTGGGCAGCCGGCCTCACGGAGTCCCCTCTTGGGCCAGGCTATCTGGACACCTGGCTAATCCCCCGAGCCCCGTGCACCCCCGCCTCTCTGCACCCCTGGGAGCCTCTCCCTCCTTCCCTTCTCAGACAGGACTGCCCACCTCCTGGAAGCTCCGTGCTGGCCCCAGAGACGCTGGTCCCACCCCCACCCTACCCCTGGGCAGGCCAGGTCCCTCAGCCCTGCCCCTTGGGACCAGCACAAAACAGGGACAAGCACACCCGGGGGTCAGCTGGGGAAGAGGACAGCATCCCCGTTATGGGGATGCTCCCAACGCCCTGACTCCCCCACACCCTGCCTGCAGAGCTGCCCGTTCAGGGCATCATCTTTGCAGTCACCTCCCCTTCCCGGGCACGGCCACAGGCTCCCTGTGCCCACTCTGGGCACCCAGTAGGCACTCGTGGGTAGACAGCCTGCGCTGGCTGTGCCGGGGGCTGCCAAAGTCCCCTCTCTGGGGCCAAGAGTCTGGAGAGGGGGAGGCAGTGATCCCAGAAACGAGCACCCCGGGGTGTCTCCACAGGACCCGCCATGCAGATCTGGCTGCTGCCCACCCAGTGGTGGCTGCGACTCCCACGGGGCCTGGGAGGAAAATGTGGCAGGTGGCAGCATCCCAGCCTGCAACTGCAAGGACCTACTTTCCAAAACAAACACCGCACACGTGGTCTGACAAAGGGTTTTTGCGCTCAGCTGAGTACAAGGGTCACTCTGGAAATGTAGCCACTAAATCATTCTTTCTGGAGCTTTCTATTGTTTATGGCAAGAATGTCTGAGATCTGGGCTGAGCAGGCAAAGGGCTGGGGGTGGGGAGCCAGCAAGTGGGGAAGCCCAGAGGTGAGACCGGGGCACCGGCCAGGGCGGGCCGCAGAGGAGGGCGCTGGCCGGGCCTTCTGAGACGCGGCAGGCCCGGCCGCTGCCAGCCCTGGAGGGCGGCCCGGGGACCACACTCACCCAAGCGCAGCAGCACCGCGCACACCTCCGCCAGGCGGCCTCCGGGGACCAGCCCGGCGCGCTCGGGCGCGCTCCAGGCGAGGCCGGCGCGCAGCAGCCGCGCGTGCACGAACTCCCTGCCCAGCGCCTTGGCCTGGGCCACCAGCTCCTTGTCGGTGGGCGAGCGGTCAAAGGCGTCCATGATCTCGGCGGCGAGGACCGAGGAGCGCCGCAGCACCTCCATGGCGGGGACGCGGGCGAGGGGCGCCGCACCTGCGGGCAGACAGCGCTCAGCCGCCCGCCCGGCCCGGCGGGCACCGGGCCGGCCCCGCGGGGAGCGGAGGGCGCGGGCAACGGCCGAGCGCGGGGAGCCGCCGCCCCCACCGCGTGCGCCCGGACCGCGCGCCCAGCCGGGGCGCACTGGGAGGCCGGGCTGGGCGTGGCCCTCAGGAAGGGCCGCAGCCAGCTGCGGGTAACCTCCCGCTTTGGGACCCCAAATCTTTAAAAACAGTGACCCATTCTTTTAGATTCCAATTAAATCACAGTTAAATCACAAAGGACCCGGCTGCCAGGGCTCGGAGGCACCGCGGGGGTGGCGACTTGCTCCGCCCGGGGCCGCCTGGGAGAGCAGGCGGCGGAGAGGGGCACAGCCAGCCTCCGGCGACAGGCGACGGCCGGGACCCCCGCCCGGGCCCCGTCTGGCCCCGGCCCGGCGCGCTCCGAGCTGGGCCGCGGTTCCGGGCCGGGGCCACCCAGCTCCGCACCCGCGGCCCCAGCGTTTGTCCCCGGCCTCGCCGTCCCGTGGGGAGGCGTCCCGGGGACCGACGCCCGCCGGCCGGCTCACCTCTCCCGCCGCATGTCGCGGGCGCGGGGCTGGGGGGCCTCTGGCCTCAGGATCCGCTCGCCGCCGTCCCCGCCGATCTCGACCCTTCCATGCAAGGCCGGGGCGCGCGCCCGCCCCGCGCCGCCCGTCCGCGCGCCCCGCGCGAGGTCCGCGGCTCCCGCGCGCGGGCTGCAGCAGCGGCGACGGCGGCCAGGCAGCGCCGCGCGCACCGCGCCTCCCCGCCCGCGGGCGAGGCCCGGCTTCGCCTTCTAAGGAAAGGCGACCCCGGGGGCGGAGCCGCGGCCCGAGCGTCCCACCGCCTCCCGGCTTAAGGAGGACCGAGCGAGTTCCCGGGCTGCGCTGGGGAGGCGCCCGAGCCCTGAACCTTGAACCCTAACCCTAACCCTAATCCCAACGCGCTGGCCAAGCGATTAGATCTAGCACCAGCCGCCTGGCTTCCCGCCCGGCTCCGTTTTAAAATAGTTGTTTTTTTTTTATTTTTATTATTTTATTTTATTTTATTTATTTTATTTATTTTTTTTATTTTTTTTATTTTTAGACAGAGTTTCACTCTCTTGCCTGGGCTAGAGTGCCTTGGTGTCAGCCTAGCTCACAGCAACCTCAGACTCCTGGGCTCAAGCGATCCTCCTGCCTCAACCTCCCAATAGCTGGACTACAGCACCACCATGTGCGGCTAATTTTTTATATTTTTATATGTTGGCTAATTTCTTTCTATTTATAGTAGAGACGGGGTCTCGCTCTTGCTCAGGCTGGTCTCGAACTCCTGAGCTCAAGCAATCCTCCCGCCTCTTTTTCTTATTGATTTGCAGAGGTTCTTTACATAATTCTGGTTATGTGTTCTCAGTCTGACTGGGTTTGTATTTATTTGAAGATATTGCAGATGTCTTCTTCCACTCTTTGGTTTGCTTTTACTGCTTTTAATGGGTAGGAGCTGTTCTTAGTGGAGTCCAATTAATCTTTACTTTTATGGCTAGTGCTTTCTCATTAGGACATTCTCCTGTTTTCCTTTAGAAGTTTAATTATTCTAGGACTCGCCTGTAGACCTGTGATGGATCACAGATGGATTCTCGCCACGGAGTGGCAGGGGTCAGAGCTCATATTTTCCATATGGATTTCCATCTGACCCAGTGTCGTTTATTGAAACACATTATTTTCCCACTGAATGGGAGAAGAGTCCTGGACAGAAATCAGCTGAGATATCATGTACATACAATCTCCTGAACTCTGTTCTTACCTAGTGTCTGTTTCTTTATCCTTGAGCCAACCGCACACAATCTGAACAACAGAATTAGCCAACCTGACCTAATTCACTTGCATACAACACTTCACCCTATAGCTATAGAATACATATTTTTCCCCATGTCCACATAGGATGTTTATCGAAATAAACCATATTCTGAGCCACAAACAAGTCTCAGCAAATGTAAAAGGATTGAAATCATACAGTGTGTTCTCTCTGAATTATAGTAAAACTCAGGATGGGCATGGTGGCTCACCCCGGTAATCCTAGCACTCTGGGAGCCCGAGGTGGGAGGATCTCTCAAGGTCAGGAGTTTGAGATCAGCCTGAGCAAGAGTGAGACCCTGTCTCTACTAAAAATAGAAACAAATTAATTTGCCAACATATATATATATATATATATATTTAGTTAGCTGGCCATGGTGGCTCCTGCCTGTAGTCTCAGCTACTCGGGAGGCTGAGGCAGGAGGATTGCATGAGCCCAGGAGTTGGAGGCTGCAGTGAGCTGTGATGACACCACTGCATTCTAGCTAGGGTGACAAAACAGAGACTTTGTCTAAAAAACAAACAAGCAAACAAACAAAAACCAAGTCAACAACAGAAAGACTACCTAGAAAGTCTCCAAATGGTTAGAAATTAAATGTCACACTTCTACATTGTCAATGGGTCAATAAAAAATCACAATGGAAGTTGCAAAACATTTTGTATTTATGTATTACTTGATATTATCCTGAGAGACAGGAGTCTGCACTCTGTTGTCCCGGCTAGAGTGCCGTGGCATCAGCCTAGCTCACAGCAACCTCAAACTCCTGGGCTCAAGCAATACTTCTGCCTCAGCCTCCCGAGTAGCTGGGACTACAGGCATGTGCCACATCCCCAGCTAATTTTTTCTACATATTTTTAGTTGTCCAGCTAATTTTTTCTATTTTTAGTGGAGACAGGGTCTTCTTCTTGCTCATGCTGGTCTCACCAACTCCGAGCTCACAACAACCTCCGCCGTCTGCCTTCCAGAGTGCTGGATGTCACCAGGTTGAGCACTACTGTCAGCCAGTTGCAATATTCCTTTAAAGTGAACAGTAGTGAAAATATGGACTAACAAATGCTGTGAAAATCAGGTAAAGAAGTACTTAGAGGAAAATTGATAGCTTTAAAAAAAAGGTGGAAAAGTAATGCTCTAAGATTCAACTCAGGAAAAAGAACAATAAGATTAAAAGAGCGCGAGAGAGTGAAAGAATAGTAGATCGAAGAGAAGTAAGAGAAGAAGTTAATGAAACAAAGCAAAAAATAGGGAGAAAGATCAACAAACGCCCGACAGCAGTTAGTTTTTTGAAGACATGAATAGAATTGATGAGCCACTGGAAAGATGGAATGAGAAAGAAGAAAACACTTCATATCAGGCATCGAAGAAGACATTGCTACCACTGCCAGCCACTCCCGGAATTGGAAGAGGAAGGATATGTATGAAAGACTTTATGACGTGGGCTCATGCCTGTAACTAGCGCACTCTGGAGGAGGCTGAGGCGGGCGGATTGCCTTGAGGTCAGGAGTTCGAAACCAGCCTGAGCCAAGGACCGCCGCTCTCTACTATAAATAGAAAGAAATTAATTGGCCACAATATATATAGAAAAAAGCTTAGCCAAGGCAATGGTGGCCAGTACGCTGTATCCCGAGCTACTCGGTGTGAGGCTGAGGCAGTAGGATGCGCGCTTGAAGCCCCAGGAGGTTTGAGGTTGCTGGAGCGTAGCGCTGACGCCACGGCACTCACTCTAGCTGGCGGCAGCAAAAGTGAGCACTCTGTCTCTCAAAAAAAAAAAAAAGAAGAAAGAAAGAGAAAGAAAGAAAGACAAAAAGAGACAAGAAAGAAAGAAAGAAAGAAAGAAAGAAGAAAGAAAGAGAAAGAACAGAAAGAAAAGAACGAAAGAAAGAAAGAAGAAAGAACTTAGACGGGTAAAATTTGAAATTTTAGATAAAGCACAATTTACCAAGAACTGATACTGAAAGAAAAAATAGTCTGTGATAGTCTACACCGAATGTAAGATATAAATTTAGATCCATAATTTAAAAATCTGTCCCAACAAAGAAAATGTTCTAGGTTCAGCCATGGGTGTCATTGGGAGAACATTCTTCTAAAGCCAGTTGAAGAAGATAGCACCGAATCTTAGGACGCATCCTGTCCCAGGAAATACGAACATGGAGGGAGTGATCTCGCCCGACTGATTGTTGTGAGGGGCCGACATACACGCCCATACAGAGACTGTAAAGAACGTTGTAGAGCCCAGGCATAGGGTGGTGTCACCTCTGTCTGGTGCCTTCCCTGTCCGTAGAGAGAAAGGGCCACAACGCGCTGTGGCTGCTGCTTTGGGGACTGTGTGGTTTCACCCACCGTCCACGTAGTTAAGTGCCTCAGGAATTGTGGGCTGTTTTTGCAGAAAAGCTAGAGCAGTACAATGTGAGCGTGCATTCTTTTTTTTTTGAGACAGAGTCTCACTATGTTGCCCAGGCTAGAGTAAGTGCCGTGGCGTCAGCCTAGCTCACAGCAACCTCAAACTCCTGGGCTCAAGCGATCCTCCTGCCTCAGCCTCCCGAGTAGCTGGGACTACAGGCATGCACCACCATGCCCGGATAATTTTTTTCTATGTATTTTTAGTTGGTCAATTAATTTCTTTCTATTTTTAGTAGAGACGGGGTCTCACTCTTGCTCAGGCTGGTTTTAAACTCCTGACCTTGAGGGATCCGCCCGCCTCTCCCAGAGTGCTAGGATTACAGTCATGAACCACCGCGCCCCGCTGAGAGCATCTTAATGAACTCTTGAGTGTGGACCTGCACCCTGGGAGCCAACATTCCCCCACTCCCCCTTGGCCCTGGCTTTCTGTCTGTCCACTTGTGCTGTGCAGCAGAACCCTCTCTCTGCCCCGGGTTGACTTAGCGTGACACTCTCGTTCCCTGGTTGGTGAGGAGGCTTCTGAGTGCAGACACCAGCCCAAACTGGCTTGGGCACAGGGAGATTTGTTGATCTCTATGACCAGAACGCCCAAGGAGAAAGAAACCAGCTCCGATGGTTTTAGGCATGGCTGGATCCAGGAGTCTCTCTTTCCATCTGTGGGTCTGTGCTCCTCTGTGAGGGTTTCACTCTCAGACAGGCTGTCCTGGAGTAATTGTAGGATGAAGCCCCCTGCTCCCTGTCTACACCCAACTAGTTCAGCCTTCGACAGTGGAAAAAACGCCATCTTTCTAGGTAGCTCCTGGGGACGGACGCCCTGGGGCAGGCAGCTTCTGTGGTGTCCCCATTTCTCAACCAGCAGTGGTGGGAGATGGGGAGGGTGCTAAGTGGCCAGGCCTGGGTGCTATATCTGGCCCTGGATGGCCTGCAGGGGCCACCCAAACCACATGGAGGAGGATGGGGCCCCACAAGCTCCTGTGGGGCGTGAGGGGAAGATGCTGGATTTCCATGGAAACCTGCTCACTCCAGGCTGCCGTGTGAGTCACATGTGCAGAGCAGAGGGGTCCCTAGCCCAGTGACGGCCACCCTCAACGGCTGGTGGCCTCAGGTGTTCCCTTTCTGCTGAAGCCAGGTGGAGGGGTATGCTGTGTGCCACCCACAACTTTTTCTGCTGGGTGGCACACGTGTGCATGCCTGCTGGGCTGGGCCCCTCCTGGTCACCGTGGAGTGCTGGCTGACACTGGGCGGCGGGCCGCTCTGGAGGCCCAGGGAGCCCCAACTTCTTCGCCGTTGTGGGCCACGGGTGGGCTCCACGGGGCCACACCAAAGCCCTTGTTCGTTTTTTTGTTTTTGAGACAATCTCCACTCGTGCCTTGCTACATTGCCGTGCGCAGCCTATCGCTCCACAGCAACATTCCAAACTCCCTGGCTCCAGCAATCCTCCTGCCCCAGCCTCCCCAAGACTGGACTTCACAGCATGCAACCACCGGCGGCTTGATTTTCTATATATCCTCTTTACAAAGCCAATTGATTCTGCTATTTTATAAAACGAGGTTTGCTCCTGCCAGCGCTTTCGAACTCCTGACCTTGAGCCAATCCTCCGACCGCGCTTCCCAGAGTGCTTAGATTACCAGGGCGTGACCACCGTGCCCGTGCCTCCCGTTGCCTTTTAGGCTGGCCGCCAGCTGACGTGCATGACCGCACCAGGAAACGCTTGCAGGAAACATCGCTTTAGAAAGTAGACACACCACGTCTCTGCGATGCCTGTTTTGGTCGGGGAAGATCTCACCTAACAGAAGAAGGCAAGCAGCGGGGGTACACAGGAGAAGTGAGTGCATAGCACCACCAGCCACAGACGTGGAGGGTCCCTGCCTGGCCCCGCTCTTTTGAGGGTCGTTCTGGGCCACAGCCACGCAGGGGCCCGGCACCCTCCACCAGAGCTCAGCACCCAGGTGCCGGCACCCCGCCTGCACCGCCCCAGCCCCCCTGGAGCCTGCGTTGGCCCCTCGCTGAGCCCTGCCTCGGAGAGGAGGGTGCTGAGCTGCCAGTGTTCGCAGGTGTCTGGGAGCGTGGACGGGCTGGACGGCGTGTGGACAGGCGCAGAGCACGACCGCTTTTCTCTGCCTGTCTCTGGGGCCGGGGCGTTTGCACTGACAGTGCTGCAGGCCCCAAGCAGGATGACCCAGGCCCCTAGGCAGGCCCCCACTGTGTGTGTGTGGGGGGCCTGTGCCGTCAGCACAGCCCCTCCGTTCTCTTTTCCAAATACACCCCAGGAGCAGCTTCCTGCCTCCTTTGCTGCTGCCACCCCAGCCCGAGCAACACCGCCCGGCCACCCGTGCACTGCGCCGCGTGGGCCCCACCCCAGTCTCCGGCGTGCAGCCTGCCGTGTGCGCAGGGCACAGAGAGCTCCTTTCAAACGCAGCCGGGCCGGCAGCCCACACGAGAAGCGGCTAGCTCCCCGCTGCTGTGCCTCCTCTCTGCTCCCCGCAGATCATCAAAGACCCTGTGCCCTTGTGTTCCTTCTGCCGGAACATTCTTCCACCAGGTCACAGCTCTGCACTGCATCATGTCCTCAGAGAGCCCCCTCACCCCCACAAGTCTCCCACGAGGGACGGGAGGACAGCAGGGGTGACACAGCGCCCCTCCCGCGGCCCAGAGCGTCACCAACAGCAGATGTTGTTTTCTTTCTTTCTTTCTTTCTTTCCTTCCTTCCTTCCTTCTTTCAGCGTCACCAACAACAGATGTTGTTTTCTTTCCTTCCTTCCTTCCTTCCTTCCTTCCTTCTTTCTTTCTTTCTTTCTTTTTGAGACAGAGTCTCACTTTGTTTCCTGGGCATGAGTGCAGTGGCGTCATCATAGTTCACAGCAACCTCAAACTCCTGGGCTCTATCCATCCTCCTGACTCAGCCTCCCCAGCAGATGGGACTACAGGAGCGAGCCACCATGCCCAGCTAATTTTTCTATTTTTTTTTTAGAGGAAAGGGTCTGGCCATGTTTCTCACAGGCTGGTCTTGAACTCCTGGCCTGAAGCAATCCTCCTGCCTTGGCCTCCCAAAATGCTGGGATTATAGGCATGAGCCCGGCCTGTTTACACACTTCCTCCCAGGCTAATGTGGGCCCTTCCTTCTGGGTGGAACGGCCACGTAGGGTCTGTGTCCTCCTCCTTGTTGCATTTCCTATGGGCCCCGGGCAGCGCACCACCTGGTAAGCCCCGTGTGGACTGAGCTGACAGCAGGGGCTGCTGCCACGTGGCCCCTTCTCTTTTAGTGGGTCCCCCTGAATCCTCTCCTTTTGCAGGGGTGAGTTCATCCCAAACCTGGAGTCCTTCTTGCCCCTTTTCTCTCCTGTCCACAAAGTCCCTCTGCATCGAGCAATCAAACGAATCTTTCCCGACTCTCTGCAGCTAGCAACAGGATGCTCCTGGTCCTCAGCAACAGAAAGCCAGCCCGTACTCGGCTTCCAACAGAACGAGGATTTATGATGCCTGCCGGAAGGAGGCTCAGAAGGCTCCAGAAAAGGCAGCGGAGGAGAAACAGCGTCCCCAGGCACCAGCCTCTCTCCGGGAGGGTTAGGGCTGGGCTGGCAGCGGACATGGCAAGGCTGCCAGAGATCCTCGACCAGAGATCTACGGCGTCCTCAGGCCCCAGAGACATTTACAGGGCAGGAGCGGCAGAAGCTAATAAAGTGGTCAAGTGGATGTCAGTTTGCAAACCCACTCGGCTTGGCCCAGGCCCCTGCAGGCGGTTGTTGCCCCAGCTGCCAGGCAGGGCTCCCTGAAGAGGTGACACACTGTCCGCAGTGGGCTGGTTCCAGGGAGGGTCACCCCACGGGTGCCCGACTCCCACCCCAGGGACACAGAGGTGGGGGGCAAGGGCTGTCCACACCCCGAGGGGTCAGAGCAGCAGGGCAGCTCCCTGAGGGTCCCAGGGTCTGGGTGGGGTCCCTCTAGAGCTGCAGTCGGCAGGTGACCTCCGGGGAGCGATGGGGGTGCAGAGGCTGGGGGTGGGAGCCCCCCTGGGGTGGGTGCTCTGCTCCCGCAAGCTGCCGGGACCCGGTCCCCACTCTGCAGGGGCTCGCGGAGCCAGCCCTCCTCGTTCGTTTTCCCCAGAAGCTCATCCCTCTTGCCCACGAAGGACGAGAAGTGTTTTGTGTAGACTCAGATGAGTGCTGAGTCAACACTGGGAGCCGGCAGCAAGAAGGCTCGTCCTCTGGCAGTGCTGCCTGGCACGGGACGGGGGCCACGGGGCCACAGAGGGCCACAGACGGCTGCTGCTCTCGGCCCCCACACCACGCCCCTCCCCCGCCCTCCCAGATGTCCGGCAGGGGCCCCAGGAGGACAGTCGGGGTCAGCAGGGCGGCCGCATCCCTCCCTACTCCGGAGCTGAGCCGGGGCCCTGGCGGGTGCTGCCTTGGGCATCACCTTGGGCATCTCCTTGGGCATCTCCTTAGGCTCTGTCAAACATGCAGGCCTCCTTTACCTGAGTCAGGAAGTCCCAAAACACAGTTCCGGGCTGCCCTGATCGGCCCTTGGCAGGGCAAGCTCCGACCTGTTAGAACCGGGACGCTGGAGAGACTGACCCTCCACCTGGTGGCTTCACCACACGCCTGTCGCCACAACACCACGGAAGTCTCCAAGGGAGCAAGGCTCCCGTCCTGCACCTGAGGCCAGGACACCTCCCGTCTGACCATATTTAGTCAGAAGGAGGGTGTCACCCTAATTCTGGGAAAACGCCACCCCTCCCCGAGAAATAACATGAACATCCTCCCCTTGTTTAGCCTACAATTAAGCTGTTGCTTAAACAGAGGGCAGTGAAAGCTAGCATCTACTCTGGCTGTGGAGTAGATTTTCTGTCTTTTGTTTTTCTTTTTTTGTTTTTGAGACAGAGTCTCACTCCGTCTCCTGGGCTAGAGTGCCATGGCGTCAGCCCAGCTCACAGCAACCTCCAACTCCTGGGCTCAAGCGATCCTCCTGCCTCAGCCTCTCCTGTAGCTGGGACTACAGGCATGTGCCACCACGCCTGGCTACTTTTTCTACTTTTTGTACAGACAGGCCCTTGCTCTGGCTCAGGCTGGTCTCGAACTCCTGGGCTAAAGGGATCCTCCTCCCTCGACCCCCCAGAGTGCTGGGGTTACAGGCGCGAGCCACCGTGCTGGTCTCAGATCCGTCTAACTGTAACTAGGGACTAAGTGCATGGGGCAGGTTGTGGGGGCGGCAAGTCTTGACCTCCGGAAGTCTGCCCACTGGACTACGGAATCTCAACGCCTCTGTCTTGGAGAAATCCTGCCATTTTCGGGAAACGACTCAAAAAGGACAAGTAGTTAAAAGTGTCAGGGCTCTGGCTATCAAGGCCTACTGGCCTAAGAATCTAAAACAGGAGAGGCAGAGGATTATAAAGACATACAGGGGTCACTGAAATTTGCTCATAGGTGGTTACGGCCGTCTCTCTTCTCTCTGGGATTGTCATTTTAGGGGATTTTTGGTGGGTGGTGTTCCCACCGCCCTTCACTTTGCCTCGGTCTCCCTCAGGTGCTTCCGTCTGTGCTCTGGTCTTTCTCCCTGCGTGGCATCCTCCTTGAGGGGTGGGGAGCCCTGGCAGCTCCCAACCTAGAGACTGGCCTGCTTCTCTCTTGGGGACCCCGAAAGGTGGTCTTTTTCCTGGGCAATTTGACGTCTCCGAGGAGGCTCCTCAGGTCTCCTGGTTGGGGTAGGGGGGTGGCGGGTCCCTGTCTGGTAGCATCTTGGGGCGGAGAAGTGCGAACTAAAATTTTAAGCCCCCCAGCCAACCAAGGGGACCCCCTTTTGGTCAAGGGGACCCCAGAAATACCCTGAAGCTGAGTTGCTGGCTGTAAGGGAGGTCAGACAGGCCTGGTCATGCCACCTGCCTTCCTGGAGATGTCCTTTGTGAGTCATGAACAGGCCTGAGGCCCTGCAAGGCAGGGCGTGAGCCACACCTGCAGGTCATCGATTCACTTCACAGAGCGTTTGAGTCTGTGCACGGTGGCTTGCCTCGGATTAACAGACGTCCTTACGTTAACTTCAAACATCCCAAGCCTGTAGACAAAGTTTCATTTCTTTAACCAATTACAAACCCACAGCTCTTTAAACCCACTGATAACCTGTAAGCTCCCCCGACTCCAAGATGTCCTGCCTTGTCAGGACAAGCCACTGTACGCCTCCCATAGATGGATTTACGACTTCTCCTATAAGTCCTGTCTGCCTGAAATGTATAAAACCAAACTGTATGGCCAGGCACAGTGGCTCACTGCTGTGACCCTAGCACTCTAGGAGGCTGAGGCAGGAGGATTGCTCCAGCAATCCTCCAGCCTCGGCCTCCCAGAGTGCTAGGATTACAGGCACCAGCCACTGCGCCAGGCCCAAGGAGCCATTTTTGGCTGAGAGCGTGGTTACCCTGCTCCCTCTCACCACCGACACACAGGACTTGGCCACATGCCGCTGGCTCCTCTGCGTCCTTTGCTACCTGCCCCTGTCTTCGTGAGGGCAGCACCGTCCAGCTGCTCCTTCCCTGAGGCAGGCTCGTGGGGCGACCTCCTCGGGTCCTGGCAGGTTGGCAAACGCCTTTACTTCCTTCCACTCTCGTGCCTGAGGGATGGTGGCTGGAACAGACATGGGGCCACCACTCCATGGTCCGTGTGCTCCAGTTAGTTGTACAGGACACTCTGATTGATGTTTGTTCCTCTTTCCCCCATAACCTTCCTCTCACCTCCTTTCCTTCTGTCCCTCCCAGGCTGGTCTCCTAAGAAACTGCCACGAACCTGGTGGCTTAGAACAACAGGTGCTCATTCTGTCCCGGTTCTGGAGGCCAGAAGTCCCCAAATCAAGGTGCTGGCAGAGACGTGCTGCTCTGCAAGGGAAAGGGTCAAGGCTGCTCCGTGCCTGTCCCCCAGCTCTGGTGTTGCCAGCCGTCCTCGGTCCTCGGGCAGGTCCCAGTGTCACTCCAGGCTCTGCCTGTGTCACCACAGGGCCTTCTACTGTGTCTGTGTCTCTGTGTCCACACCTCCTCCTTTTAAGGACACCAGTCTTGGGCTCAGGACTCCTTTTCCTTGTAAGGACACCAGTCCCGGGCTTAAGACTCCTTCTGATCCACGTGACCTCGTGTCAACTTGATGGCACCTCCAAAGACTGTTTCCAAGCACAGTCACCATGCCAGGTGCTGGGGGTGAGGATTTGAACATACATTTTTGGTGGACCTGATTCAACCCACGATCCCCTCTCAGTTTTTAAGATTTGTCTTGGCTGGGTGTGGTGGCTCACACCTGTAATCCTAGCACTCTAGGAGGCCAAGGCGGGTGGATCACTCAAGGTCAGGAGTTCAAAACCAGCCTGAGCAAGAGCGAGACCCCATCTCTACTAAAGAGAGAAAGAAATTAATTGGCCGACTAAAAATATACAGAAAAAATTAGCCGGGCACTGCGGCACATGGCTGTAGTTCCAGCTGCTTGGGAGGCTGAGGCAGGAGGATCGCTTGAGCCCAGGAGTTTGAAGTTGCTATGAGCTAAGCTGACCACAGCACTCTAGCCTGGGCAACACAGTGAGACTCTGACTTAAAATAAATAAATAAATAAATAAATAAATAAATATTAAAAAAAAAAAAGATTTGTCTTTATCCTAAAGTTCTGATGCATCGGGGTCAAGATTTTATTTCTACCTTCTAACCTGAAAACCCACATTTCTCTTCAATTTGAGGGAAATGTTCCCGGGAGTGTCCTCTCCGGTGTCCCCCTGGAGCACCCAGTGGGGATGCCGGGACTGCGGGTCTCTCCCCAGCCTCCCCTTTCCCGCCATGCTCTTTCCTGGCCCACGTTCTGAGGGATCCTCTCTAGCTCAGGCTTTTTACCTGTCCCGTCGGTTTGCTATGGTGTATTTCAATTCACATTTTTTTTTTTTGAGACAGAGTCTCACTCTGTTGCCCAGGCTAGAGTGAGTGCCGTGGCGTCAGCCTAGCTCACAGCAACCTCAAACTCCTGGGCTCAAGCGATCCTACTGCCTCAGTCTCCCGAGTAGCTGGGACTACAGGCATGCACCACCATGCCCAGCTAATTTTTTCTGTATATATTAGTTGGCCAATTAATTTCTCTCTATTTATGGTAGAGACGGGGTCTCGCTCTTGCTCAGGCTGGTTTCAAACTCCTGACCTCGAGCAATCCGCCCGCCTCGGCCTCCCAGAGAGTTAGGATTAGGCGTGAGCCACCGCGCCCAGCTGTGCGAGCTCTTTCTATTTGTAGTAGAGACGGGCGTTCTCTTTCTCTGGCTGGTTCCTTGCTACACAGTGTCCTCCAGACTCCCTTTGGGACACCTATGCATATTTCGGGGTCTTGTGGTTGCTCCCGAAATGTCTCCCCAGGGGTGGGCGTGCAGGTGGTGTCTTCCTTCGGCTGAGCTGGTGTTGCCTGGGTGGGTCAGCGTGGCCGGCTGAATGATGGTCCCCAAAGATGTCCTGGTCTTGATCCCTGGAGCCTGTGATAAGTGACCTTGTGTGGCAAAAGGGACTTTGCCCATGTGATTAAGGTGAGGATCCTGGGATGGGAGATTGTGCTGGACTATCTGGGTGGGCCCACTGGCACCACGCCGCCCTTACAAGGCTGTAGAAGGGCCAGAGGCAGAGAGGGATGCCCGGCTTCTGGCTCTGTAGGTGGAGGAAGGGCGGCCAAGGAACGCAGGTGGCTTCTAGAAGCTGAAGAACCGCCAGAGGCACCAGCCCAGCGGACCCTGTGCCTTGAGCCCTCTGAGACCCACTGTGGACGTGTGCCCAGAACTGTAAGATGACGAATTTGTGTTGTTCTACGCTGCTAAGTTTGTGGTGATTTGTTACGGCTGCAATGGGTGATTTTTTTTTTTTAACATATATATTTTTGAGTCAGAATCTTACTCTGTTGGCCGGGCTAGAGTGCCGTGGTGTCAGCCTCGCTCACAGCAACCTCCAACTCCTGGGCTCAAGCGATCCTGCTGCCTCAGCCTCCCAAGAAGCTGGGACTACAGGCATGCACCACCATGCCCGGCTAATTTTTTCTATATATTTTTAGTTGTCCATAAAATAGAATTTCTTTCTATTTTTAGTAGAGATGGGGGTCTCACTCTTGCTCAGGCTGGTTTCAAACTCCTAATCTTGAGTGATCCGTCCACCTCGGCCTCCCAAAGTGCTAGGATTACAGGTGTGAGCCACCGCGTCTGGCCGGAACAGGTGATTCTGATGATGAGCCCATCTTTATACCTGAGGTTAAGTTATACAGTCGTCCCCTAACCCTTGGGGGACGCATCCCAGCCCCCGGTTGGTGCTCGGAACAGCAGAGAGCAGAGAATCCTACACACTCTGTTTCTTCCTATAGAAATGCAACTATGGTACAGTTTAACTTATAAATTAGGTGCAGCGAGAGATTAACAACGATAACGAAAATACAAGGGAACAATTGTAACAGTGTGTTGCAATAGAAGTTTTGTGAATACCGTCTCTCCTCTCTCAAGTATCCTACTGCACCAACATTTCGGACTGCGGGTGACCGCGGTGACTGGGCCAGCGGAACCGCGGACGTGCAGCCAGCGCTCCTATTCGTGCCCGCGTG